GGGGGGGGGGGGGGGGGGGATAAAGGGATATATGTATATTGTATACTATAGTACTAAAATCTCTTCTAAAAACTAGGAAGAATGAATGAATGAATGTACTCAGGATTAAGGCTGTGAACTCAAGACACCTTGCTGAAAAATCTATGCTGCAATGTATACAGGGTGTCCAGAAAATATAAAATCTATGCTGCAATGTATACAGGGTGTCCAGAAAATATAAAATCTATGCTGCAATGTATACAGGGTGTCCAGAAAATATTGCAAAAGTTGAAATAATGTATAAAACTACCTATCTTAGGATTTGTCGATCAAATCAACTCTTCACTGATATTAAGTCAACTATGAAGCCTCAACTTTAAGCGTCTCGACGGCTTGGGCTTTGGTTGCCCCTCACCAACTCACTTATACTTTTTTGTAGCCCTAGACATTTACATTTTAAAATTGCAACGGTCTTTTTTCTAGCTTAACTTGAAAAGGGGTTATTGGCAAAGTACTGCTCGATTTTTGGGTGGGAGCGTGAACATCTTGGTGTACAGTATCTATATTCATTTTTGTACAAATAGCCAGAAGAAGTTTTTGGAAAATACATTATTTTTAGAGTGGTTTTAATAATAGGGTTACCCCCCAATCATGAGGTGTCAGAGACGACTGTACGGATTAAGATTTCCTGCGGCTGTAAGCCTGTAAAGTTGCTTCTTTCTTTGTCTGATCCTTAAGAAGACCTTAAAAAGACTATTTCCATGACAGAATACTTAATTCAACCTTGGAAGTACATTTTTGGGACATTTATGCAGCGCTCGGTCCCCTAGCCTAGCTTTGCTGCAAGGCTCAAGATCAGTGGCTGCGCCCGTAGCATTCAGTGCACTACTGACATTGTACGTAGTTGATCCACTATTAATTGAACAGTGGTTGCATTAGTTGAAATTAAATGTTTAAAAATAAAGTTATTTTACTACTCGTAAGAACTCTGAGACACCCTGTACAGAAATCTAGATAAATACGAGAAGAAGTACTCGTTAACTAAAGAAATGGAAAAGTTTAAGTAAACATAAATAAAGAAAACATAAAGTAAAATATAAACAAAAACTCTAAGATTATTATTTTTTACTTAAATCTAACATACTTTACATCTTAATATGTAGCTATTTCAGAGGGAGAAAGAATATGGCAATAAAAATATAAATAGATGGGATATTTGATGTAAAGTGGAGGATGGGAAATGTAGTCTAGTAAAAAGACTGGGAAATGTAGTCTAGTAAAAAGACTGGGAAATGTAGTCTAGTAAAAAGAATGGGAAATGTAGCCTAGAAAAGGGAATGGGAAATTTTGTCTAGTAAAGAGAATGGGAAATGTAGCCAAGAAACGAAAATTTGGAAATATAGCCTGGTGAGGAGAATGCAAAATGTAGTCTAGTCTAGTTAAAAGAATGGTAAATGTAGTCTACTCAGGAGAATGAGAAATGTGTAGTCTAGGGAGGAGATGGGAAATGTAGTCTAGTAAGTTGAATGAAAAATGTAGTCTAGAAAGGCGAATAGGAAATGTTGTCTAGTAAAGAGTACGGAAAATTTAGTCTAGTAAGGAGAATGGGAAATGTAGGCTTGTTTGGAAAATGGAAAATTTAGTCTGGTAAGTAAAATGAGAAAATTAGTCTGCTTGAGGAGAATGGGAAATGTAGACTGGTAAATAGAATGGGAAAAATAGTCTAGTAAAAAGAATGGGAAATGTAGTCTAGTAAAGAGAATGGGAAATGTTGTCTGGTAAGTAGAATGAAAATGTAGTGTAGTAAGGAGAATGGGAAATGTAGTCTGGTAAAAATGAAGTTGTATTTCAGGAAAATTAGGTTCATTGTACTCCCAGGGGAGTTTAATTTGTTTCAGAATGGAAAAATTTAAATAAAAGAGGTTTATATTATATATTATATATTATATATTTTAGTTAAACGAACTAAATTATATAACACAGTGGGAAGAGAAGAGACAGAGATTGGAAGGGGAAAAGATAATAGGGTTGAGGGAACTTATGTGAAGAGAAAAATATGGGAGAGATAGCGAAAAAAAGGTTTTTAAGCTAGAAAAAGTGGAAAGAAAGTGGAAGAAAAGGGGGAAGGAAAGGAAAGGAGTGAAGTGAAAGGAAAGGAGGGGGGGGAGAGAATGTGGGAAGGAAGAGAGGGGAAGAAAAAGGAAAGAAGAGGGAAAAAAAGAGAAGCAAGGAGGGGGAAAGGAAAGGAAAGAGAGTGAAGGAAAGAAAGGGAAAGACGAAGAAAGGAAAAAGAAGAATAGGAAAAGGGAAAGAAGGAGGAGGAAAGGAAAGGAAAGGAAAGGAAGAGGGGAGAGAATTTGGGAAGAAAGGGAGGGGAAGGAAAAGGAAAGAAGAGGGGAAAAAAAGAGAAGCAAGGAGGGGGAAAGGAAAGGAAAGAGAGTGAAGGAAAGAAAAGGAAAGGCGAAGAAAGGAAAAAGAAGAATAGGAAAAGGGAAAGAAGGAGGAGGAAAGGAAAGGAAAGGAAAGGAAGGGAAAGGAAGGAGTGAGAGGATTGGAAAGAAGTTGGGAATGTTTAAATTATCTGAGTTTACTGATGTGGAATTCTAAAGAGAAGGGAGTTAACATATATTGGGAAAAAATCAGAACAAGATAAAATACTAAAACAAATGAGATTTATTAGAAAAGGAAGCAGTGAAAGTAATGGATAGATTTAAGAAGAAGTATTAAAGAAAAGCCTTTAAAAAAATACAGAAAAATGGTTTAAGTTGATGGGAAAGGGGAGCTGGTTTAAAGGGTTAAAGGGAGAAGGGGAGGGAAGTTTAAAAGGGTAAAGATGGGGGAAAGGTTAAAAGGGGGGAGAATGTTAAAAGGGGAAGGGGTGGGACACCAGGTTAGCAAGAGGGGAAAAGGGAAGGCATGTGAAGGGAAAGATTGAAAGAGGGATTTATAGAGTTAAGACCACAGCTTTCAATAATGTGGAGACCTATCCTATAATGAATAGAGATTGATGTTAGACCGGAGACAGTGTAGAATAGTTTAAAACAAATTATCCACCCTACCACCTTTATTCTATATATATTCATATATATAGGACCACATTTATATTATATATAATTCTGATATATATATAGGACTGTATAGAATTCCGTACTCCATAAACTGCACTCAGACCCGTATCTGTCCAGGTACATCTCAGACATATTCTCTTGACTATCAATGTCAACCCCCGACATTAGCTCGAACTCTATCAACGCCAAACCAATGGGCGCAATCTCAGCTCGTATGTTTCAACGAGAGCCAAATTACTCTCTCGGCAGTAATCAAATCGGGGTCTCTGTATATTTCTTCAGTTTAGATTAGAATTGGGTATTAACAGTTAAGTGGGTCGACTTTAATAGCGAAAAATTCCCTGTAAAATCGTTCAAGTGCGGGTAAACGACAGGAGTAACTTTTAGTAACCTGGGCAGCGCTGTGTTCCCAAGGTAGTATTATATATATTCATATAATTTATAGATATAAATACATTAATAAATAAATAACCATGAAATATGCGGGAACAATCTTAGAGAGCTTCAAATAATTATTCAATTCAAAAAATTAAAATCTGCAGCATTCCATTATCAGTAGGTTCAGAAAACGACACTTTATGAATTCTATCGATGTATCCCAAAGTTCTGGATTAAACTGTATACATGTCAACCTACTCAATCTAAAATTGTTTAACCAAGCTCAAAATATTTCCGTGGTTCTACCTAATTCCCCCAATCAAAATTTGAGGCAAATCGGCAAAAGGGTTTGTGAATTATGATCGGACAGGCAAACAGAGATTACAACTTTATATATATAGATATGCTGAAGAATGTCCAACATGAAACACAGTGTCCAGCAATAACCAATCTTAATAAACAATAGAACATGTTCTAGACTTATTTTAAGAAGATAAATATAAATATATATATATATAACTAATTTATTATTCAATTAAAAAAGAGATTTATATATATGGATATAGGACCACCTTTATACTATATACTAGCTTGGGAAACCCGCTTTGCCTGAAATCTAAATTTTCCCAAAAAAGTCAACCAACTCAATTAACTTAGAACTTCTAAATCTAGCCAAAAACATTCCCGTGGTTCTACCGAGTTCCTTCATCAAAATTTGAAGTAAATTGCCCAAAGGGTTCCAGAGTTATTATCGGACAAACAAACACACAGACAAACAGTGATTACAACTTTATGTTTAGACGTGAACCCAGCTTTCTTTGTGAACTAAATTTTTTCTAAAACAGCCCAACTTAATTCTTTTAAACCAAGTTAAGAACATTCCCGTGGTTTTATCGAGTTTTCCAATCAAAATTTGAGGCCATCGGTCAATGGGTTCGTGAATTATGATCGAACATACAAACAAACAGACACCCAGACAGATTTGTCTCTAAAGTAAACCTGATAAAGAATATAATTGCCACTTATAGAATTACAAGTTAACCACTAACCATTCATTATACCTCCCAGAACACATTTTAACAAAACCCTTAGATATATTAATTTTAGACTACAAAATATTAGTTTACACAAGATAAAACATGTTCCATAGAACACTTAAAATTAGAAATATAAATGTTTAAAATATTTAATCAAACATAAAATCTTGAATTCTATAGAAAAAATGTTCTCATTGATAATTTATAATTTTTTTAATTTTCTTCAAAGAATGAAAATGTAAAAATTCTGTCAAATGAATTGGGTCAGGCAGTGCTGTAGATACAAATTTTATTTATGTGGTTTCTTTACATTCTTTTATTTTGTTTTCTGATTTCTTGAATTAAAATCTACGCAAATGTAAAGACCTCATATTAAAGGAAACTTAGGAGTTTCGTTCAACAATACTCTTTTAAAATTCCCGCTCTGGTATTTTCCTTTTATTGTGCTCANTACATATACTCGTATATTCTTTGCATTTCATTTAAAAACAAATATTGAAAACATTCATTATTACAAAAATATTAAAACATTTTGCGCCACAGAAATAAAACTGAATTGTGCTTTGCAGTCAGTTTGTAGGTGTTGAATTTGCAGTACATGTACTGTACGTGTACTGTTGGACATTGTGCAACATGGTGGTCAATTTCACTCTTTATTTGTGTACAGAAATAAAATTCACTAAAACAGAAAAAAACCCAGCATATATTGGTTTACATAAAAAGTGTTTCTATAGTGCACTTTTTATGTGAAAAAGGTATAGAGGTTCCTGTTATATTCCTTGCTCTCCCATATTTGATTCTTATAGAATGAGATAAAAAATCTTTTCCCCCCCAAAAAAAATATTTTGAATAAGCATAACATCTTCAAAATTGTTACACCCCGAGAAACTTGACAATATGATTTTTTTATCAAAATTTTATATAATTTTTCATATACTGCCCACCTTTAGAGTAATAATATAATTTTTTCAGGATATATGAATTGCTTTTACAGGGAACCACTTAAAACTGTGGAATAGAGTGACGGCATTTTAGCAATCTTATCTGTATTTAAAGTTGTTTAAAGCAAATGGCTTTAACAGAAGCTTGAAAACTAACTTATTTTATGTATATGAGCGGGCCTGTCTCAATGTACATTGTACCTGCTCAATTTCTTTGTATCATTTTTAATGGACTATAATTTCAATTTATAATTATAACCTATTCCAAAGATTTATAGGTCGCAAAGTATACTGTTTTTTCTAATAATAATTTGGATTAGGATGGTAAAAAGAAACAAGCAGACCTTTACTTATAATAATCAACAAATTCTGGTTGAAATTTTACTTTAATGACGTTAGATGATACATTAGTCAATTAAAAATAAATTATGTTTTTTATGTTTTGACTTGTTTTCCAATCTTGACATTTAACCATTCAAATTCGTATTATTTGGGAAAAGTAAATTTTTGATTTTTTTAACAAACAATCTTAGGTTTTTTAGCTTTTGGAACCAATTATTAAATTTCTCTTTTTTTATTGCAGCTTATTAACTCTTTAACTGTAGGTTCATAGAACCACATTTAGGTTTAACTTTTAAAATGTTGTTTTGTCAAATAGAACAACAAGATAAAAGAAATAAAAGTTGAAACATTACAGTGTTTAAAATGATTTATATAAAAAAATTAACTCAAAGCTGGTTATTTTTTAGTTGGATCCCCGGACTCCTATAGGCTTAGCTGAAGATCTGCATGTTTGTCGCTTAACCTCAGAATTTAATTAAAAGGTGAGATTCAGTTATTGGTGGATTTAAGACTTACGGATTCCCAGATTTTACACTTCAACCCCGTCATCTTCAAAAATTTACAATTTGATCTCACGAGTTTAGCCGCTAAATTCCTATAAAGGCGCTTAGCCGGTTATTCAAAAAAAATGTGCCAGCGTTGTATTTCTAAATGTACTGTAATAGTTCCAATTCTAAGAAAAAACTGAATAGGGAAAGAAAGGTAAAGATTTTAATATTCAGGGGCGTATACAGTATTTTTTCCAGGGGGGAGGACAAAACCTTTAAAGTTTTTTATGGGGGATGACCTATTTTTGAAAACATAACCGCAACTTTTACAAGGGGGCTTGCCCCCCCCCCCTGTATGCACCCCTGTAGTAAGATAAAAAAAAAAACACTTAAGGAAAGGGTAAACTCGGACCCATCAGAAACCTCTCTGTGGAAAACTTAATTATTTTTTTTTACATTTCAAAGGATTGTTCATGATATTTCTGATGTGTCCTGGTTGCAACCCTAGTTCTGTGTTTACCTTCGAATACTGTGTTTTGTATTCCTGTGGCTAAATAACGTTATATATAGTTATGTACACAGTACATGTACAAGGAGGACCTTTGTATTACAAAAAAAACAGGAGGGGAGGGGATTAAAGTAAATTCAAGTTTTTAAAATGATATTTGAGGGAATTTTACTCTGTTTGCTTGGAGGGACTAAAAAAACAAAACCCGATCCCTGAAAAGGTTTTGTAAACATTAAACACACGTCCTCTAAATATCTTGTTTTTAGAATCTAAAAAACGTTCTAAAACTTAAAAAATCATTAAACAAATAAATTTGTGGAAACTAACAATGTGTTTACGGCAAAGTTTAAGATACTCTGTCATTTTCTATACTGAACAGCTGTCAGGTCAGAAGGGAAGAGATTCTCTTTGAACAAAACTTAAATATGTCACTAAACTAAAAATCTAAAACTTAAAAAGTAAAAACAATAAATTACAATTTAGAATTTTTACCTATTTTCTTCATTATTCCTTCTCCTATAGACGCTCCCTGTATACAGCCGAGTAGATGGAACAAGAGAACTAGGTTTCTAGATATATAAGAATATATAGAACAAAAGAACTAGGTTTCTAGATATATAAGAATATATAGAACAATAGAACTAGGTTTCTAGATATATAAGAATATATAGCCCAAGAGAATTAGGTTTCTAGATATATAAGAATATATAGAACAAGAGAACTAGGTTTCTAGATATATAAGAATATATAGCCCAAGAGAACTAGGTTTCTAGATATATAAGAATATATAGAAAAAGAGAACTAGGTTTCTAGCAATATAAGAATATATAGAACAAGAGAACAAGGTTTCTAGATATATAATAATATATAGAACAAGAGAACTAGGTTTCTAGATATATAAGAATATATAGCCCAAGAGAACTAGGTTTCTAGATATATAAGAATATATAGAACAAGAGAACTAGGTTTCTAGAAATATAAGAATATATAGAACAAGAGAACTAGGTTTCTAGATATATAAGAATATATAGAACAAGAGAACTAGGTTTCTAGAAATATAAGAAACTTCCTTACTATGTACTAACACCTTTTCTTTATCTCATGTGGAGCAGAAGAAAAATAAAACCTATGATATAGTTTATAAATATATGTAATTGTAAATACATATATATACATTATAGATCCTAACAGGCTAACATACGTACAATTACAAACATCAGCATAGTGTGCAGTACACTGTACATTGAATATACCATTAAATTGTACATTATTTATATTAAGCAAAGAGTAAATTATACAACTTCATTTTCTATTTTTCCTGACGGGTTATTAGCTGTCAAAATCTAACCATATGAAATACTGTAAAAAGAAATCCTGATATTTTGTTGATAATATCGAAATCCTGATATTTTGTTGATAATATCGTAATCGGGAACATTTTCTTCAAAAATAACGAAAGATATGAAAATTTGTGAGATTTTGCAAAATGTACAATTTGGAAAAATGTACATTTTTAAAAATTTTTAGACTAGTATAGGAGATTACTTTCCCGACATTGAAACCTCGTATAGCTCCTCTAGTATTGATCTTACGCTGAACTATAAACATGTCGGGTATATATTAGAAATTCTAAATAATACATGCAATTTACTTAAATTTGATGTGATATAATGATTTAGATGTATATTTACCTAATATTCTTCATATTGAGCCGACTAGCGGCATATCTCAGCATCAGGTTTCAGACATATCACTCATGCCATTTTCACGCTCATTAAACAAATCATTCTCAGTAGATTCTTATTGTTACAGGTTTATTCAACAATATTACATCATTTCTGAAAAAATACGTCGTTAGAAATGATAATAATCATGATTATTTTCTTTAATGATCCATCGCACATAATTAACGTTAAGTTAAAAATCTGGAAAATTAAGTTCTATCGCCAGAAAAAATAATTCTAAATTTGAAAAGAATAGTTCTAAATCTGGAAAATAAGGTTTCACATCTGGAAAATATAGTTCTAAATCTGAAAAGTAATTTCTAAATCTGGAAACTATTATTCTAAATCTGGAAACTATAGTTGAAAATCTGGAAAAAATAGTTCAGAATCTGGTAAACTTTCTGAATCTTGAAAATAAGGTATTGAAACCAATTTGTTTTGATTAGGGTATAGATGGTGAAAGTATGTAAATATCCTGGAGATATATGATTGATGGATTGCAGGGCCCAACCACCCAACCAACCAACCAACCAGTGATCAATCTATTCACCGGCCCTCCCTCTTGATTATTTCATACGAGGCTCCATTAATATATTAAGAAAACTCTTTTAACATTAAACTAATTCAAAGGGACTGTAAAGGTAAAAGGAAAAATTGATAAAGCCTAGAAATTTTAGATGTTGATCGCAACCAATATTAGTTCTATCTGATGTCTGTGTCTCCAGAAATTGATATAAAACTGTGTCTGAGTTATGCGAAAACTCTACCAAACGTGACTTCGTATTTGAATCAAAGATCAAACAGATATTCAGCAAATACGGATAAACTAGGATAACCCAAAGGTGTCTAGAAATTATAGATACGCTCCTATTATAAATTGAATGTTATAATTTTTTATTTTTAGGTTTCCCTTAAAATTATATATACGTTGTACTTTTTATGATGATATTTCGGCCGCTAGGTGTCTCTGCTCTTAATATTTCATTGATATAACTTGGGAGAAAAATATGAAATAAAAAGACGACCTATAAGCAATCTTATGTGTATTTGATGTCTGTTAGAAAGTAAATAGTGTTACCAGTAGCTTGAAAATCAACTTATTTAGTGAACAAGGGTCTCTGTAAGTCTGTACATTTGCTTTTTAATAATTAAAATCGTAACTTAAGTCTATCAGTCGTTTTTACACTGTAATATTCTAGAAAAATATACAATCTAAAATGTTTAGATTAATTAAATTTAGATTTAGATACATCTGTTTAGTTTGGAGGGTTAAAGAATGTTAAAAGAATGTAGGCTTCCGGGGGCGTTTTGCTTAACACTTTTCCTGCTAGCATTTTTAATCAAGAACACAAAATTTGCAGATTTTGTTGGATTTTTTCGGTCGATATCAAATGTTGAGATTTTTTCTCAAACTTTTTAAAAATATTTTCAAAAATTTCATTTCTAAAAGTTTGAAAATTTTCTTTTTTTAATTGATTGGTTTTTGTGTTGACAGGGTGTTTAGAAAATATTATAATTTGCTTTCAGGGATTTTTTTTAAAGGAACGCATTTTGTTTGATAAAAATCTCCAAGTGCAAGCAATTTAAAGCGAAATAAAAATAAGAAAAACATCTAAATTGTGAACATCCAGGACACCTTTTTTCTTAGGAATGTTAAAAAATTTTATAAATTAGATTAGTTTTTTTCAGTTTTTAAAATTCACGAACTGTGAACACTCCCTTTAAAGGGAATGTCAGCAAAATTTCATCTGACCTTTCATGCTAAGAGTTTAATTCGGGGTGTAGACAAAGCACATCGAAATTTTCAGTTAAATACAAGTCAAGGTACTAATGCAAGGAAAGTTATTTAAGAGGTGTACGCATTTTTTGTACTGCAGTCTTTGGACGGAAAAGTAAACTGCAAAAGACGGATTCCACAGCCTGACATGGAATCCATTTTCACAAAAATATTCTGGTCATGGGAAACTATTATGTGAATTTTCAAAATTATCAAAATTAAATGCGTTTAACCTCCTCGGATACTAAACGAACACTGATGCATCTATTCTTGTTTACAAAGTCCGCCCAGAGAGAACTGGTTTCAATATGTCGCAGAGTATGCGCGACCGCAATTAACTTTCCTTGCATTGGTACCTTGATACAAGTTAGTTTTTGATAAGTTTACGCACACATTGCACGCATATCTTTGTACTCAAAGAACATAAAGATTTTAAAGGAACGGTTGTATAACCCCTGCATTGCCCTCTTTGCATTGAAGGTCACTTGAAATTACGCGTACAGTCCCTTTAAGTCTCAATAAAAGTGAAAAATGTGCACATCTGTCCATGCGTAAAAAAATAAGAATGCAAAATTTATATTACAGTGTTTTATTTTTGCAGAGGCCATTACACACGGATTATTCAGCGTTCAGCAGTTCAAACTTTTTCAAATATTTTTCCCCGGGTTCCTTTTTATCTTTTTTATCATATTTGTATCTTGTTCTAAAACAGACATTTTAAACTCCCAATCTGCAAAATTTAGATTTATGTACTAAAAAGAGTTTTTGTTTTTCTGGCCGAATATATTAATCAAACACATGAATTAGAAATATCATGTACAATTGTACACATGAATTAGAAATATCATGTACAATTGTACAGTGTGAAAAGTTCTTGATTTGATAGGAATAAAAAAAAATGTCTGGAAGTGTGAAACTCTTTGTAAAATCGGAAAAGCAAAATATTTCTTTATTTCTCAGTTTTAAGTATGTCCAGTGAATTCAAATAAAATAAATGTATTGAGAGTTGAGACTCCGGGCTAAATTGACCACTTTCAATATATTCAATTCGAGAGTAAGTACCCGTTTATAAAACTATATTTCAACAAATTCTTTTTCTATTTTCATTCTTATTATTCTCTCTTGATAATTCCCAGTGTTATCTGTGTAATATTAATAAGATCATATTATGTGCATTTGATGTTATTCTAGAGCAAACAATTAAATCATTTGCGGTAACAATTATTAATCGAAATGGGTCCGAGCAGACTAAACAAATTGCTGTTTTTCAAGTCCATATTTGACTATTTAAAATTAAAACATCAGATTTTTTGGTCTCACTGTTTTTTAATCCTTTCAATTTTCTATTCTTTCTGTTCAAATCTTCTTTTCTGTTTCTCTTTTAAACAATTTTTAATCTTTCTTAATTTTTCAGCTTCCATCTTGCTTTTTCAGCTTCCATCTTGTTTTTTCAGCTTCCATCTTGCTTTTTCAGCTTCCATCTTGCTTTTTCAGCTTCCATCTTGCTTTTTCTCTTTTTACATCTGGTTTACACCTAACAAAAAAGCATGCGACATTTTAGTTTTATCATGAACAAATAAAAAATTGGTGTCATGGAAAGCAAAATATAAGAGCTATAAAACAGGCGCAAAGTACCCAAATTTTTTTTATTCATTTTTATTTCTCAGCATACCTTATTTTTAATTCGTCATTATTATTTAGTACAATCCATAGACTAAAGAGTGAACTAACAAATTTCAATCATTCATCATTTTTAAACTGTTGAAGGGAATTCAGAGAGCTATTCGACCTTCAAGCTTCAACCATAGGTCTTACCTTACTTATTTAGCTTAACTTAAAAACCATAGAGGGCAATCTAGGATGCAATGCAATTTAAGGAATTCATAAAGGAGGAAATATGGATTTTAAAGGGACTATCGAACTAATTCCAAGTGACTAAAGATTGCAAGCTCTCACACAAGAATAAATGAAAATGTTGCCTGGAGCTAAAAACAAGTGTCTAGGACTACAAAAAAATTTAGCTTGTTAGGTAGTTAAATTCCAAGTCTACCAGATTAAACATTGTTGCAACTTTTCATATCAATCTGAATCATCAATGAGATCGATTCAAAGCATTTAGTGCCCGATATACAAAGGTACCCTGAAGCATTTAGTGCCCGATACACAAAGGTACCCTGAAGCATTTAGTGCCCGATACACAAAGGTACCCTGAAGCATTTAGTGCCCGATACACAAAGGTACCCTGAAACATTTAGTGCCCGATACACAAAGGTACCCTGAAGCATTTAGTGTCCGATACACAAAGGTACCCTGAAGCATTTAGTGTCCGATACACAGAGGTACCCTGAAGCATTTAGTGCCCGATACACAAAGGTACCCTGAAGCATTTAGTGCCCGATACACAAAGGTACCCTGAAGACCTGGAAAACAATGAGTAATATTTCTCCAGTTTTGTTTTGAAAAGAAATAAATCTCTAAATTTTCTTTATTGAGAAAATGAAGAAAATATTTAAAAATGAACCACAATTAAAAATTATTCATGGAAGATTGGGAAGAAAAAAATGTCTTAATCAGTTTGTTGAGACAAAGGCTAAAGGGCACCGCTGTAAATCGGATTAGCCACGTGACATTACGTAGATAATCCCTTTACCTCAGTATTTTAGGAAATCTGTATTTATCTTTACTCACTGATATAGTTCTTCTTCATTTATATTTACCTCTCCGACTATCTATCTATCCATCTGCATCTTTCTATTACGTATCTATCTATTTATTTATTTATCCTACCATCTATCTACACATCTATCTATTTATCAATAGAAATCATGTCGTATACTTAGCAATTTTTTTCCTCCATACCTAATGCATACCTATTCCATACCTAATCCATTCTATACCTTTCCATACTTAATCCATACCTAATCCATACCTAATCCATACCCAATCCATACCTAATCCATACCTAATCCATACCTAATCCATACCCAATCCATACCTAATCCTTAAATAATCCATACCTAATCCATACCCAATCCATACCTAATCACATCGTGTTGAGTCCTACTATACTTCCTAGAAACGGCAGTACATTTTTTACAACCAAACAAATGAGGTTCCTGGTTTATTTTCTTTGTTAAGGATTGCAGAATACATGTCTTTATCCCCATATTATTAAAGTACAGGGTAAATCTTTATTGATATTGCATATTACAATTGCAGAGAACCCTGTCATACAATAGGTATTGTACAGGATTACTCACAAAGGATGAGAATGTTAAGACGACCTGAAAATATGACGATATTATGATTTAATTAAATTTTCTGTCTTAGATGTAGTTTTTAATAAAGTATTTAATGATAGAGAAACGAGAGAAATAAGTTTTAGTTGCAGGGAATCATAATTATGAGAAAACAGAAAGTAAAAATTCCTTGAAGTCGTCTCTGAAGTCTCATCATTTGTGGGTAACCCTGTCGTACATAAACATGATTGGATGCAGTTTACTGTAATCTAGAGTACTGCAGTTGTAAACCAACATTTAAATTAAATTCAATTGAATTGGCATTAAAGAAAACTCCTTTGAAAAATTGAATTGTGTGAACATTTTTTGGGAGTAAATTGGGAAATTGTTGGGTTTGTGAAATACATTTTTGGGAAAATGCTTTGGGAAATAGCTTATTGGGGAAATTTTTAAGGAAATGATTTGTTGGGAACGTGTTTAATAAAACACTTTTAGTTTAGTAGTTTATTCGAAAATTGCTTTGGGAAATAATTTAATAGGAACGTTTTTAGTAAAATAGTTTATTGAAAAATTCCTTTGGCAAATAGCTTTTTGAGTACTTTAATTTTATTTTATCAAGCTAATCTATTCTATTTAAATTTCTTCTATTCTATTATTCTATATTTTCTTATTTTCTTTTCTTTAACATTTTACTCTTTCTTATTCTATTTCATTTTATTTAAGTATAATCTTTATTATTTTCTTCTATTATGTTCTATCCTTTTTTCTATTCTATTCTATTCTATTTTATTCTATTCTATTCTATTCTACTCTATTCTATTTGTGTTCAACTTGACTGTTTTCTCGTCACGTGTACCCTCTCAGACAAAACTTTTTTATCAAAAAACTTTCAGGTTTTCGAGAAAGAAGGAGGACTGAAGTTACAAAGGAAGGAAGGAGGGGCGGAGAAGAAAGGGAGGCAGGACGCAGGAAGGAGGGCAGGAAGGAAGGAAGAAAGGAAGGAGAAAAGGAGGGAAGGACGTGCCAAGAAACCGAAATTCCCGAATACTAGGAAATAGGGAAGGATGCAGAAAGGAAGGAAGGAGGGAATTTTTTAAAAAATTTTCTCCATTCCTAATTATTTTCTAGATATGATTTTTGTTTAAAGATTAAACACGATAATAGGAGAAAGTCCAGAACTAAAAAGAAAAAATGAATAATTTAATGACATACTACCAGGATACATAGATAGATAGATAGATAGATAGATAGATAGATAGATAGATAGATAGATAGATAGATAGATAGATAGATAGATAGATAGATAGATAGATAGATAGATAGATAGATAGATAGATAGATAGATAGATAGATAGATAGATAGATAGATAGATAGATAGATAGATAGATAGATNTGAGATATTCTGGTTTATACATCACAGACTGAACTGAGATATTCTGGTTTATACATCACAGACTGAACTGAGATATTCTGGTTTATACATCACAGACTGAACTGAGATATTCTGGTTTTTAATTTATTTTTTAAAAGAAACAATTTGTTTCCTGTAAAATAAACTGTAAAAAACAATTTAATTTTCTTTTCTTATTTTTTTAACAGAAAACTGCAACTTTAAGATTGTCAATTCATGACAATACTATCTGTAAAATCATTCTCTTTTCAAACTGGCAGAAAATTTAAATTTAAAAAAGATAAAATTTTGTTTTGAATTTTACTAAAAGATTTGAAAAAAGAGAACAAATCAAATTACAGAATCTCAAAATGTGTCAACAATTTAAGTTGCATTACAAGACCGCTGTAATTGAAACTTAGCTTAAAATATATTTTGCTTTAAAGAAATAGTTCACGATTTCAAGAATTATGTCCTCCTAGACAACAACAATTCCGCTCATGTCCTATCTTTTGTTGGTAACCCTGTATCTTAATCCTGATACAAAACATACGTTCAATGTCATTCTTGAGAACATTTTAATGTGCTCAAACATATGTATTTTTTAAGGTAAAAAAGCTAAGTAAAAGAGGAGATATTACTTGCTACAATCTACAATTTTTGAATCACTACAAAACCCTCGATATTTCGAACTGTGTTATAGCAAAATTGACAGTTTAAAATATAAATGGTCTCCGAAATCAGTTTGCAATGATTAGAATTAGAAAAGGAACTGAGTTTGTGTCACAAACTCAAATTGTCTAATCCCTATGTCTATATCTTTGATATTTCAAACTTAGATTATTTGGTCTAACAGAACTCATAGTTTGAAATATCAAAGGTCTACGATAAAGAAAAGTAGTCTGAGAGTGTCTTTTTAAATTTTTAACTTTAATAAGTTATTTTAATTAGTGTCTTTTTTATAATTTTGTTGAACGATGATAAACAAAACTACAAAAATCGCATTTTTATTTCGAACTTCTGTTTCTTGAGACATTCAAAACACTTAATTTAGCGGAAACACTGTCCTCCTAGATACACTAGAAAACCTAGATAAATCTTGTCAAGAGAGAAAAAAATGTTTAGTTATGACTCTAAATATGACCGGAGAAACCTGATATATTTACAACCTACAAATACAACAAATATACAGGGTGTTTAAAAAAGCTAACCTACATATGTACTGGGGGTTACAGGGTGAAATTCTGTCATTTTAGTTAAATTCAAAAGGAAAATATAACGGCAAAAATAAGATGTTTTCAACAATATTTTTTTCGGAACACCATGTACTTAAATAATCTGAGAGAAAACGAGCAGAAGGGCTGAAGAGCATCGTAAAAGAAAGAATTTTATCCTGCTTTATCCATAAAATAAAGTTTATTTCTATTCATAAAAAATATGAATATTTACAAAGAAATCAGAGGGATCTCGACAGATGAACATGAATAATGTATATACCAGGGCGGGGGGGGGGGGGTTTACGCTATTTGATTTTCTTATTCTCTTTTAAATGCTCTTTTTATGTGACTGTTCGCTTACATTTACAGTTTTCCTTCTTTTACGACCCTTTGCATTTCATTTTTTTCTGCAATTTTTTTGTTCACTTTTTTCATTTTTTCTTTTTCTTAAAAGCTTTAATTCTGTTTTCATTTTCACTTCTTTTTCTCAATTTACTAATTCACTATTCTCCTTTCATTTTATTTTTGCTTGATTCAATTAAATGCGTTCAAACCTCAGACATAAACACCCTGTTAGAAATAAAAGTGTTCAAAGTTTAAACGAAATGTTAAGATATCTCGCAAATTTTCAGATCTCTTCCATTCTTCTTCGCAAATGTTAGGAATATCAAATTAAATGATTTTCGGACAAAACGTTCGGTATTTCGATCAACATATTTATAATTTCGAACAAAATGTATGTAAATTCGAACAACATGTTTATAATTTCGGACAAAATGTATTTCGAACAAAATGTTTATAATTTTGGACAAAATGCATATAAATTCGAACAAAAAGTTTATAATTTTGGACAAAATTCATATAAATTCGAACAAAATGTTTATAATTTTGGACAAAATGTATATAAATTCGAAAAAAATGGTTAAAAATTCGAACAAAATGTTTATAATTTCGAACAAAATGCTTATAGTTTTGAAAGAAATGTTTATAATTTCGGACAAAATGTTTAAAATTTCGAAAAAAATGTTTATAATTTCGGACAAAATGTTTATAATTTCGGACAAAATGTTTATAATTTTGGACAAAATGTACAGGATTTAGAACAAAATGCTTATAATTTCGAATAAAATGATCGAAATTTTGAACAAAATATTTGGGATTTCGATCAGAATATTTATAATTTCGAGCAAAATGTTTATAATTTTGAACAAAATGCTCATAATTTCAAACGAAATGTTTGTTTATAATTTCGAGCAAAAATGTTTATAATATCGAACAAAATATTTATAATTTCGAACAAAATGTTTTTAATTTCGAACAAAATGTTCGGAATTTCAAACAAATTGTTTATAATTTCGAACAAAATGTTCGGAATTTCGAACAGAATGTTTATTATTTCATACAAAATGTTTAAAATTTCGAACAAAATGGTCATAATTTCCTACAAAATGTTTATATTTTCAAGCAAAATGTTTTTAATTTCAGACAAAATGTTTATAATTTGAACAAAATGTTCGGAATTTGAAACAAAATGTTTATAATTTCGGACAAAATGTTCGCAATTTCCAACTAAATGTTGGGAATTTCGAACAAAATCGGTAGGGTTTCTCCTGCAGCAAGGTGTTTTATTTTCCAATAAAAGCAATGCAGCTAGCTCAGTGGACAGATTTTCTAAGTAATCCCTCAACAAAAGCCTGGTAAGAAACTGAATGTTTTGAGTCTAATTTGACATTTCTTTTTCTGTAGAATTGTAAAACAGGTGACTAGATATGTTATGTTATGTTATTATTGTTCATTTTCACACAGTTTTTTCATGTAAATTTTCTAGTTTCCATATGTTCATATGTCAAGTTTTTGTCACAAACTCTACTTTTCTATTCTTTATATCTTTTCAACTCAATGTCGTAGACCTTGGAAATTTCAAACTATGAATTCTGTTAGACCAAATAATCTAAGTTTGAAATACCAAAGTGTTTACATCATCAGATTGTAAAGATATAGGGATTAGACAATTTGAGTTTGTGACACAAACTCAGTTCCTTTATTATTTTATTAAGTGGCACGGCCAATTCACAACAGAACCTCTAAAACCTTTGTTTAGTCCAAAAATGAATGAGACCCATCTTTAAAAATTGATTATTTTCAGTTGTGGAATCTCTATAAAAGCGGATTTCTTTCTTTAGAAACAATGAAAGAAGTTGTAAAAATTTAAAAACTTTTCCTTCTTCAAATAGAAGGTCACTTGGGACAGTCCGTTTACATTAAATTTAACAAATTTTAACAATTTTTTTCAAGGGTTTTTGCATTATGAAGCCGTTTGTGATTCATCAACTTGTTAAGGTTCTGAATGAAGCTGTTAAAGAAATTAATGATTTTTATCAGCACTTTTCATTTCCGAGGCCTAATCTAAATGTTGATACAAAAAGTTGAAATTGTATTAGAAAAGAATTCGAACACAACATTAAATGTTACTAAATTGTTAAAAGATTATAAAGAGAAAATATTCAAATAATTTGGTGATGTGGACAGTTTTTTTGTTGGTTTGTATAATTCCAATAAGGGAGGAAAATTTTTTGTGGGATGTGGCATGGCGCAAACCCTGATGTATTTACTACAGACCCATGCACGTTTTTAATCACAGTGGGGCCCATAAAACTGTGGAAAAGAAAGACGACAGTTAAGCAATTTTGTGTGTACTTGACGTTGTTAGAACGAACACAATTATATGCCCAAGGAATTTGATACGAATTACGAAACCGTTTCATGTTTAAATAACGGTCTATTGTTAATTAAAAACAACCCTGTAATATGTCTTTCGGACCAATAGCACGCACGGGCAGCCATAGTACAGTTGAATTTCCGAGCCGGGTCAACCTTTTACGGTCGCAGTTTGTACTGCACCTTGCTCTATGGACAGGACTATCCGGTGCAACATGGTTGACGCGGTCAGGCTTTATGCTTCATATAGGTTGAATTTACTTTTACCAAAGGGGCAGATTAGCGTGGCGCTATCACTAGCTGAAAAAAGAAGGAGAAGGTAAAATTTACGCAGCATTGCTGGTATGTCTTGTGACCTCGTAACTCCTCTAGTTTTGATTTTACGTACATATATCAGAATCACAAATCACAAAGGAATTGAGTCTTTGCCACAAACTCAAATTTTCAAATGCCAATATCTTAGCAACCTGATTACGTAAACCTTTGATATTTCAAACTTAGAATGTTTTGTCTAAAAACATTCATAGTTTGAAATATCTAAGGTTTAAGACTTTGGGTTGCAAAGATATAGGGATTAGAAAATCAGAGATTGTGACTAAGACTCAATTCCTTTATTAAGTAAGTAAGTAAGTAATTATTTATTTACGAAATATATCAAAAACAAATAAAATTTAGAAAATATTTCTAAACCTCCAAAATTGGAGGTTGTGGGAATATTGGTTCTAAGGTATCTGATAGTGTCCCCCCGACAAACTCTAATTGCTGGGACTTTTTGCCACCTCGATGTTCTAATACTGATGAAAGCTATAGCATAGATTGTAACTGTTATTTATGCACTGTTTAGTTTGCTTGTACCCAGGGTCTAAGTACAATACCTTCTTATAATATATTGCTTTGTCTATTCTCCAGGTTTACTTGGGCTCTCATGATCGGACCTACACAGAACCCTAACAGAAATATTCACCTCTCCTTCATTTTTTTTTACTTTCATCGTATCATACGCCGCATAAATCTAAAGTTTTCAGGGACCTGGACCAGACAGCCAGATATTGAGCTCTCCGGCACTGTAATAATCATAGAATTCATCAATGTGTTTTTAACCCTTGTAAATGTATAATTATGTGCCTAATAAAATATTTATTTCTTTATTTATTATTATTTCACCCCAATTCTAAAAAAAAAATTTTTTTAAATAGAAATGAAAGGAAAAGGAAAGGAAAGGAAAAAGAAAGTTACATATATATCACATAATATGATATCAACTGTTGTGGATTGTTTGTATTTTTTGACGATGAACTAACAACTTATAAAAATTAAAATGATTTATTTGTAATATTAAAAATAAATAAATTATAAGCTTTATGGGTTGTAAAAACGATATAGGTTCTACGGAAAACGGGTATCCTTAAGCATCTTTTTAATTAGCGCCGTTATGTTGGATTATATCTGTTAATCTTTTTAATCTTTAAACATATTAGAAATTCAACATATTTTACTTTAGTTTGACGTACTATAAGTGAATGTTGTACTTTAGTTTGGAGTACTATAAGTAAATATTGTACTTTAGTTTGACGTACTATAAGTAAATATTGTACTTTAGTTTGACATACCATAAGTAAATATTGTACTTTAGTTTGACATACTATAAGTAAATATTGTACTTTAGTGTGACATACCATAAGTAAATATTGTACTTTAGTTTGACATACTATAAGTAAATATTGTACTTTAGTTTGACGAACTATAAGTAAATATTGTACTTTAGTTTGACGAACTATAAGTAAATATTGTACTTCAGTTTGACATACTATAAGTGAATATTGTACTTTAGTTTGGCGAACTATAAGTAAATATTGTACTTTAGTTTGAAGAACTATAAGTAAATATTGTACTTTAGTTTGACATACTATAAGTAAATATTGTACTTTAGTTTGACATACTATAAGTGAATATTGTACTTTAGTTTGGCGAACTATAAGTAAATATTGTACTTTCGTTTGACGTACTATAAGTGAATATTGTTCTTTAGTTTGGAGTACTATAAGTAAATATTGAACTTTAGTTTGATACTATAAGTAAATATTGTACTTTAGTTTAACGTACTATAAGTAAATATTGTACTTTAGTTTGACATATTATAAGTAAATATTGTACTTTAGTTTGACATACTATAAGTAAAAATTTTACTTTAGTTTGACATACTATAAGTAAATATTGTACGCAAAATCGCCAATACAGTGATTGTAAATTTAAGCAGATGCAGCCTCACTTTGATTTAAAGGTCAAAAGCTCTCAAGCAAAAATCTAAGATAATTGTATCAGATACTTCTTGAAACCCAAAGCTAGCAACAAGTGCTTCATAGTAATAAAATATACATGTGAAGAGCTACAGAAAATCATAAGTGAGTTGGAGCGGTAAAATCAAAGCCCAAGGCGTTGCGACACTTCAAAGTCGACCCTGTCTTAAAAATTGATGAGACTTTTTTAAAGCTGGCTCAATGTAAGTGTGGCGCCCTAATCCATACCATCTCAGCCTATTAGCTAGCCCTACCTACTGTAGTTGGTGTACTGGGCGGGGCAGTACAAACTTAGACCGTAAAGGTTCAGTACAGATTCAAATGTACATGAGTTGAGTGTGATTGTTTAATATTTGAGAATAAATGAATATATAAAGGAATTGAGTCTTTGCAACAAGCGTTGATTTTTTAATACCTATATCTTTGCAACCCAGTGTCGTAGACCTTAGATATTTCAAACTATGAATTCTGTCAGATCAAATAATCTAAGTTTGAAATATCAAGAGTTTACACCATCAGGTTGCTCAGGTATAGGGATTATAAAATTTGAATTCGTGGCAAAAACTCAACTCCTTTATGAATATTTGCGTAGAAACGGATTTGCTAAGCCAGTGAAGGTAAAAACATGGTGAATTAGAAGCTACTTTAGGGTCAGTGGGTTGGAACTTTTGAATTAGTTTAACATTAATTAAAACTTATGAATTTTGGAGTTTAACTGATTAGACTTTAAGGTAATGGAAAATGAAGTAAAACCTTATCCCATAATCTGAAATAATACACTACACAGTAAATACAGTGGAAAATTCAACTCTCTAAATGGCAACCTTGAAACCTATATCAGATCAATAATGTCAAAGATGTCGTTTTTTAGCCTAAATAATGGTTATCCCCTTAGTGGTTTGTATTTTTGTAGATTAAAGACATTTTAAAAAATCAACTTACAAAGAAAAAATACATATATAACTTAAAGTGTACATTTGTGAATGGGAAATGCCAGTGAATAAATAGAGGTTCACTTAAAATTACTTCTAAAGTAAAAAACTAAAAGATTTAATCTAAACTGTTTAAATGATCCAATTCTTATAATATATCCGAACCCATCAATATATAGACTGCCACAAAATATCATTATCTTATCTTTACAAAATAAAGAGTAGGAGAGCCGAGAGAGGAGGGTTTACTAGAACCCCTCTCCCAACAAGCTATTGCTCCCCACCTCCCCCATCTTTAAACTTACTTTTGTAAATCGGAAAGGAGGGTTTACTAGAACCCCTCCCCAGCAAGCTATTGCTCCCCACCTCCCCCATCTTTAAATGTAATTTTGTAAATCGGAGAGGAGGGTTTACTAGAACCCCTCCCCAACAAGCTATTGCTCCCCACCTCCCCCATCTTTAAATGTACTTTTGTAAATCGGAAAGGAGGGTTTACTAGACTATAAATATACTTCTACAAGTATACCAGTATATACTACAGGATTACAGAGCTAGGTATATGTACTATAAATATACTTCTACAAGTATACCAGTATATACTACAGGACTATAGAGCTAGGTATGTGTCTTATAAATACTTCTTCCAGTATAATTCATTTGACCAACAATCAACGAGTGAAGATAGTTTGTCAGATAGAAAATTATATTTGAGCGGCGGAGATAGATAGATAGAAGGTAGATAGACAGATAGATGATTGGCGTGATATTTGATTAATGGTTTATATTAACTTGGCAAATGTAGGACCCACAAAGAAACATCAGATAGATAGATAGATAGATAGATAGATAGATAGATAGATAGATAGATAGGTAGATAGATAGATAGATAGATAGATAGATAGATAGATAGATAGATAGATAGATAGATAGATAGATATGAAAACATATTTAGTAATAAAGAATGTAATAAATATAGTAATAAACCCCATATTTTGTGAACATGAACATACCTATATATATTACGTTATAACATTATCTGTACCCTAACTACGTTCATTTATTGATGAGAGCGAGTTGTATCTGTACGATACATACAAAGAAAACAGAGTGTTGTATCTTAATTGATACAGACTAAGGTATTATTGTAGAACAATCACTTTTAGAGAGAGTTGTATCTGAATGATACACACTGAGAATACAGAGAGTGTTGTATCTTGCTTGATACAGACTAAGGTATTATTGTACAACATTGAGTTCTAGAGCGAGTTGTATCTGTACGATACATACTGAGAATACAGAGAGTGTTGTATCTTGCTTGATACGACTAAGGTATTATTTGTACATGCATATATATTAAATATTGTGATGAATTTAAACCCAGTAGTTGAGTGAGAGAGTCCTAGCTATAGGCTTCAGATCATTGCAAAAAACATAGCAAAACATATATTTGCATACAACATTGAGTTCTAGAGCGAGTTGTATATATATACAACTCGCTCTATATACGATACATACTGAGAATACAGAGAGTGTTGTATCTCGATTGATACAGAATAAAGTATTATTGTAGGACATTGAGTTTTAGAGCAAGTGGTATCTGAACGATACAGACTAAAGAGTTTGAGAGCCAGTTGTATCTGGATTGATACAGACTGAAAATAACTTTTGGAGTAAGGCATTTGGAAACTATGAGGGTCGGAAGAAGGTAAGTAGAAAAGTAGGAGGATGGGGAGCTAGGTAGGAAAGTAGGAAATTTAGGAGGAAGGAAGGAAAGATTGGAGAATCGGGAGAAAGGTTGAAAAGTATGAAATTTTTGGAAAGGTAGGAAAGTAGGAAAGTAGGAAAGTTTAAAGGAAAGTAGGAAGGTAGGAGAGTTGGGAGGAAGGTAGGAAAGTAGGAAATTTGAGAAAAAGGTAGGAAAGTAGGAAGGTTTGGAAAGAGGTGGGAAAGTAGGAAAGCCGAGAGGAAGGTAGGAAAGTAGGAGAGTCAGGAGGAAGGTAGGAAAGTAGGAGAGTCAGGAGGAAGGTAGGAAAGTAGGAGAGTTAGGAGGAAGGTAGGAAAGTAGGAGAGTCAGGAGGAAGGTAGGAAAGTAGGTAAAACTGTTCAGTTTAAAATTTTCTGAATGTTTGTTATTTGATACTTCATGCTTTCACCATTAGATACGGAGTATACTGAATTAAGCACAAATTTAGAAATGTAAAAGGCAAAGCTTTTCATAAACAAAACAAAAATGATTTTGAACTTAGAAAAGGCATTTGATAATTTGTTTTTTTATTTAGAATTTAGAGTTCATACTTTTACGCAAATTCACAGACTAACAACAACATTTGGACGGAAAGTTGGGCGGAAAAAAGTTCTAAAACTGACAAATAAAATATTCTCCGTCTCCCCCTTCCCGAATCCATTTCAACAACAAACTTTTTATCCTCCCCCGCCCCCTTCTCTTCCTTCCCCATCTTCCCCTTCTCTTCCTTCTCCCCCCCTCTCAGTCTATGTCAGTATAGTATATTGTTGGGAGTTTCTATGAAGCATTTATTTAAATCTCCATCATTTTGCTCTTTGTTCCGCTCTAAACTCTTTTATTCCCCAAAACAAATAAGGGGCTGACCCATAAGCTACGAGTTGGCCCCAGACTAATTGCCGCCCCCCCCTTCCAGGTCACAGGGTTAAAAGTAAATAAAAGAATGAAAATAAACAATATAGAATAAGTAAGAACAATAAATTAAGAAAGATTAAGATACATTGTCCACACTACACACTATCCAATATATAAACTTAGAGACAAACTTACATTATAATCTAATCATTTATAGATAGATAGATATATAGATAGATAATGAGATAAACTGATAGCTAGGTAGATAGATAGATAGATAGATATAAAGAGATAGACTGATAGATAGATAGATATATAG